AAAAAAAAAAAAAAAAAAAAAAAAAAAAAAAAAAAAATATAGATAAGCAAATTATAATTATTATAAAATAATAAAAAAATTATTAATTTTTTTAAGTTAATTTAAACTATAAACCTAATTTTAACTTTAATCTTAATTCTAATTCTAATTTTAATTAACTTTAAATTAGTTAAAATAGTTAGTTATTTATATTATAATTTTATAATTATTATATTTGCCTACATAGAGTATAACAACTTAGTAAAATAAATAAGTTATCAATCTTCTAAATAGTAAATTAGGTATTCAAAATCTATCAATAGAGGGTTTCAAAGTTAAAAAAAAAAGTGACGTATTTGAAAACAAATAGGAATTTGAAGTCTTATTTGGGCTTCAAAATTTTGAAATCGGAATGTGAAATGAGAGTGTCTGGAGATCCCCATTTCATGAAATCAGAAAATTTTTGAAATCAGTGTAGTCATTATTATGTTATCATTATTACAAATATTACTGTATCATTATTACAAATATTGTTGTATACAATATTCTATATTACTTTACAAAAAAAAAAAACTTTCGTTCAAATATTCAAAGCATTTTATTTCTTTTAATATATTCAGATATTGTTAAACTGTCAATAATTCAATAATGTCTTTAAAGAGAACATTTAAACAAACTACCAAAGAACAAAAACTTGCAATAGTCATATTTGTAGAAAATCCAAACAATTAATCTATTATCGATGGAAAAGCAGCAATTGGTGCACCGGTTGGTGGGAAACCTGTAACAAAAAATGCAGGATTTGCACAAATGGCATCATTTGTAAACAAACGCTGTAAAGATAACTAGTAGAATGCTAAAATAGCAAATGGCTGTTGGTGTACATATAAAAAGATATATATAGAAACTTGAAAGTTAGCTAATAAATCTGGATGGGGATTAATCAAAAAAGATCATAAAAAAGGAATTACAACTATAGAAGCTAAATTGGATGAATTATGTCCATATTTTAGCCGAATTGACACTATTTATGAAGAAAAACAAAATGTTTGACCTTCTTTTCTTGAGAATTTCGGATTAAATAATGAAGATAATATAAGTGAAACTTCAATTGGTAAATATAAATTTAATCTTTATAATTAATTTAAATTACTATTACAGTACTATTATTAATTATAATTTTATATACATAGAAACAAATAATATTCAGGAACAAAATGATGAATTACAATCTGGTAAATATTATATATTTAAAAATTCTATTTTGAATAATTTAAAATAAATACTTTATTTAAATATATTTATTTTTAAAAGATTACAGTGGGCAAAATAAGAAATCTTTATTGTCATTTATATTAAATGATATTAATTTGAATGATGAATTTGATGCTAATTTATTAAGTAATAATTTTATTAATTTATATAAATTGTATATTTTAAATAATTTATATAAACAATAAATTTTATTTAAAAGATAATAGCAATGATTTATATGAAGATAATTTTAATAATAATGATAAGAAGATAGTTTTAATAATAATGATAATGAAGATTGTTTTAATAATAATAATAATAAAGATTTTAATAATAATAATAATGAAGATTTATTAACTGATAATTTATTAAATATATATTATAATTTGAATTAATTAATTTATTTATACTAAAATAATTTATTATAATAAAGAATCAAATAGTATTAAAAGAAAACAAATTTATTAAGATTATTCATCAAAATGGCAACATTTATCATCATCATCTAAAAATAAAAATGCTAAAATTTCTGCAAAAGATATTTATTTTAATACTAAACAGCAAAGTCTTCAAATTGAACAAGAACAAATTGTTATTGAAAAAGAAATAATTGAAATAAAAAAATTTGAATTAGAGAAAAACTTATTAATTGAAGAAAAAAAACTTCAATGGGAAAAGGAAAAAGCTGAAATAGAAAATACAAAAAATAAAAAAAATCAACAAAACAATATGTTATTAGAACTTATATGTCAAGAAAAATCTTTAACAAAAATTAAAGAAATATTTAATTTTTTTAAAGATTTGTAATATCATATTAAATACATATTTAGCATACAATATATAATAAAACTTTAAATAAATAAATTATATTTATCTATAATAATTATTCTTTTGAAGAACAAGATTTTGTATATACTTTCGCATTTTTTTTCCTTCTTCATTTAAATTACTATCTATTGAATTATTAGAATTTATTAAATTTAAATTGATTTCATTTAAACTTTTATTCCAAATATCATTATTATTTAATGCTAAATTATAAAGAATAATTGTTGCCTTTATTGTATCTAAAACAAATTTTAAATTTTTTTTTGATATAATTTAAGTTCTTATTCTATTTAAACATTCAAATCGTCCTTTCCAAATTCCATTTACATGTTCAATTTTAACACGTTCTTTAGCAAGCATTTCATTAAAAAAAGTATTTTTAGAAATACTTGCTTGTGGTTGTTTATAAGGAGTTATTGTAGTTGAAGTAAGTTGATAACCACAATCTGCAAGCAAATATTCATTTTGACTAAAAAATTTATTAACTTCATTAAATAATGGTGTAGATTTATATGCTGTTGAATCAGTAACTGAGCCCAGCCATCCAAAGTTTGCAAATCGAATATACTTTAAATCATCACAAACTAATTGTACTGTTAAAGCATATCGCTTTTTTCTATTATAATATATTTCACCATCTTCTGAAGGTTTGTATTCAAGTACAACATCAGTACCATCTAAATATCCAATACATCCTTTAAATCCTGATGATTGTTCTATTCGATCACTAATTTGTTGTTTTTCAAGAGAATTAGGCCATTGAACATAATTATTTCCAATTGAATTAATAGCTGTTATAATATGTTTGGTATATTTAACAACAGTACTAATTCCTAAACCCCATTGTCTTGCAAATCTTCCAACTGAAGCACCATTTCCATTACAACCTAATCGCTCTAAAGCAATAGCTAATTGTTGCCAAACTGGCCTTTGTAAATTTTTAGACTTATTTAAAAAAACAGGATTATTACGAATAAGACCTTCTATATGCCAGAATGTTTCTTTATTCACCCGGGTAATTTGCTTAAAATTATAATCATTATAATTAAGCAAAAGAATTTAAAAAAAATCATTGGATTTGATTGTTTTCTCATGTAAGGTAAGGTATCGATCCAACTTTGTTACTTGCACTAATTCGAAAAGTTCAATTTCTTTTCGAGTTGTTTGGTGGCTTTAGTTTTATTTAAGTTGGCATTGTATTCATTTATGAGTAGTTCTAAAATTTCATTAATACTTTTAATTTGTTGGTTTCGGGATGAAATTTTAGGCATATTAAATAAAAAATATTAAATATGTTCAATTTAATAAGAATTTTATAAGTTGCGAAAAGCAATAATACAAATAGGTGTGTTCAAAGCCTAATTGAAAATAAGATCAGATTGATGCATTACTTATTTCAAAATAAATACGTTACCAATTTCAACGTAAATTAGATTCCCGAATTTTAACTTTGAAACCTCCTAATAGTAAAAATTAAACAATTATTTACATAATATTTATATTATAGCAACTGCTTTTAATAATTAGATTAAAATATTTATAATTGTAATTATATTAATATAACTGACAAGTCATAGAGCATCTGTGCAACTAGTTATACAAAAAAATACAAACTAGCATTAGCAGTACAAACTTTAAATAAGTCCTTGTGATTATATAAATCTATAAAAATTAGAAAACATTAAGTTCATTTAAAAAGATCTAAGCAAAAAGATAGCACAAATCTTTAATAATACTATTGTAAAGATTAGACTTATAAAACAGATATCAATATAAAAAAACTAGAAAGACAAGAATTTTTAAATATAAATACTACCAACCAGACTATTAAAATTGAACTAAAGAAAAAAAATATCAGATTAATCTGATATACTAATAAACTGGTTATAGTTCTATTAAGTTATTTAAATTAAAAATCTAGAAATAATATAGTAATATATTAAAATATTTTAGATATACTATAAAGTAGTACTAAGATTCAAATAAACTCTGTAAGTGCATAAATTTAATGCCTAGCTTTGATTGTAAGTGTTGGTTCTGATATAATAATATTGAATTAACTATAAAAATATATACAGAAGGTTCTAAAAGATATATCTTAAAAATAAAATAGTTTTAAGATTAAGACAATAATCTAAATATAACTTAGTAATATTAATACAGATTGCAGATTCAAAAGGTTTAAAATAGAACATTCAAGCAAAGACATTAGATATAACAATTGATAGAGAATCTTTAGATAGATTTCTTAAATAATTAATATAAAAAAGTTATATGTGTAGCTAATTGTATACTCTTTTTGTAATAGTTTCTTACAAAACATATTATCAAAAAATATTAATAAAAGTCAAAAGTCTAAAAAAGTTATTTAAAAAAAAAGCATATTTGCTTATCTATATTATAGTTTAACTTTTCTTTTATTAATTATCTTAAAGTTTTCAAAAACCTTAATATACAATTTCTTAAAATTAAATTGTATACTAATTTTTTTTATAATCAAGCTAATTTTTTTGCAAAAAGAATACTTAAATTTATTTTTAAACTATTATTACTAATCTTATTAATCTATTTTTAATCTTTTAAATTGTAATACAAGCAAATTTAATTGCATTAATTTTTTTAAAATTTTATAATAAAATTTTAACAATTAATTTTAGCAATATATTTTTTAAATAAAAAATATTTTTAAAAATCTATTTTATAAACTTTGTTAAAAAACTTTTTTAATTTAATTAATATAATTTAATTAATTAAAGTTTAAGATTTTATAACATTAGAGTTTAGTATTAAAATTTTTTTTAAATTTTCTAAAATTTTATATATTTTCAAAGTTAAAAAAAATTTTGTTCTTAAGACAAGTATTAATTTTTATATATAAATTACTAACCTTTTTTTTTTTTAGTATTAAAGTAACCTCTTTAGTCTTTTAACTTTTATTAATAACTTTTTTAGTAATGTAATTCTATGAACTACTACAAAAGAGAGTACAATTTGCTATATATCTAACTTTTCTATATTACCTATTTAAGAAGTCCATCTGAAGATTTCTTACTAATTGCTTATTTAACATTCCTGCTTAAATGTTTTATTTTAAACTCTTTAAATCTATAATCTGTATTAATTCACTAGATCATATCCAGATGCTCAGATTATCATCTCAACTTTAGAACTAATTTATCCTCAAAATAAACTTCACAAAGCCTTCTGTATTTATTTTTACAGCTATCTAAATATCACTATAACAGAACTAGTACTTGTAATTAGAGTTATATTATTTAACTATTGTGCTCTTATAAAGTTTATACAGATCTTAGCATCTACTTCACAACATAACTCTAGTACTTTAGTATACCTTTGTCTTTTTATCTGCTTTTTTACCAGACTCCTAACTCAGATAGCCTGTATAGAACTATGATTAGTTTATTAGTATATCAGATTGGCCTAATATCCTTTTCCTTTGGTTCATTTTAGTGACCTAATTGATAGTAGCTTTGAGATTCCCAACTCAGAAATTCTTGCCTATCTGAGTATTATAATTGAGTACTACAACCTTGGTATTTATTTTTTTAGACTAGCTTTTATAGTAAGATTATTAAAGATCTAACTATCTTTTTACTTAGGTTTTTCCAAATAGACTTCTTGTTATCCAATTTCAACAGATTTATATGACCACAAAAACTTATTTAGTATTTGCACTGCCTAATTTGTTAGTTTGAATTTCTTCATATATCAAGTTACACAAATGCCCTATAACCTATTATTTATACTAGTGTTATTACAAATATCCTAATCTAATCACTAATAACAGTTACTATAATATGAATATTATATAGATAATTATCTAAATTTTTGCCATTGATGGGATTTGAACACCCAACTTACTACTTGAAAGGTTGACAACCTGATCACTTCACTAGGTCACCATATTCCTAATTACTAAACTTTTTTTTTTTTAAAAAAAAGAAGTCTTTTCTTTAGTTTTTTATTTTAGTAATATATAATTAAGTACAACTAATACAAATTGATACATTAAACTAAAAAAGTAGAGGTTAGGACTAATTTACTCTTAATCTATTCTTAGCTAGAATGGTTAAGAGACCTCCAGTCTATGAGTTTAGTAAGAGAGAATGTTTAGTTTAAATGTATAAATCTATTGAACCATAAAATATATTGTCTATCTGTTGACATTAGTAGTGTATGGTCTGAGTTAATAGTAGTAATTGTTAGTGCAAATAAAATATGTTGTTGAATGTATGTTTTACTTAGTTTCATATATATTTATATATTTTTATTGTAATTCAGTAGTAAATGTTTGGTAATAAGTTCTTTTTTAGTGATCCTGGTTCAAGTAAGTTATTTGTTATAATTCTAATCAGAATTTGTTGATCTATATAGATGTTTTGGATTTTTTGAATTAGATTTGTTGATATAGTTGTTTTGATTTTATTATCTTTACAGGTTTTTGTTATTGCTTCTTTTATTATTTTTTTTATTTCTATTTGGTTGTATAGACAGATAAGTATATGGATTGTGTCTTCTAATATGTTTAAACACTTTATACAATATGGATTGGTATAAGTTTTTGGATTATTTTATGAAGATTAAGATGTGTTGATAGTTTTAAGTTAAGATTTTAATTTTGAATATTTTTAAAGTAGATTTTGTAGGATCAGTATTTTAACTAAAAGGTTTGTTTTTGAAATTAAAATATTTAAATATAAGTTTCTAATTAATGTTAGAAAAATTGTTAGAGATATGTTTAATGTGCTTCTGATTATTCTATATGATAATTGCTTCTGCTTGTTGTAGAGTTTTAGGTATTTAGTAAATTATATATATAGTTGGTATATTCATTATGAATAGGATAAAAGTAGTATTTAGTACTGTATTAGGTAGCAGATTAGTATAGAATTGGCAGAAGGCATTTTTTATGTTAATTTTTTTTTCTGTTAGGTTGATTTTAATTTTAAGTTTTTAGTATTAATTATAGTATTAAGAAGGATGATAATATTATTAAAAAAGTTTTTCTTAGTTGGTGTTTCTGTTCAGATAACATTGTAAGCATTGTTAAAATTTTAATAAAAATGTTGTTTTTGTTAATTAATATTTGAATTTTTGTATCTTCTGTTATTACTATAAAGATTATTGTGAGCATTGTAAATATTGCATAATCTGAAGAAAGAAAGGTTTGATTAGTGCAATATCATGTATAATTATTATGCTAAAATAATAGTTAAGTATAAGGAGTGTTGTATCTATTTGTTTTTTTGAAAATAGTTGTAAGTTTAAAGTTTAGTTCTTTTGAAAATGAACTTGTTGTATATAATTTCTATATTTTTTTTTGATTATTTGCAAAGGTCTGTAAAAATTGATAGTTAGTTTAATATTTTAAGATTGGAAGTAATATTTGTGATTTTGTTTAGGTTGTGTAGTTGTTTGATGAGAGTATAAACAATTAAAGTTTGTATAAATTTGTTTGTAATAGTTAACTTGAATTTGAAGGTCAGGTATATAAAATTAGTAAAATAGCAATAGGTTGTTTTAAATTTTAGGATTTGATTTGACATCCAAGACATAATATTAGTTGATAAGCATTTAGTGAATGAATGTTATAATATTTAATTTTGACTTAATTATTAATAATGTTTGTTAATTTTCTAAATTATTGTAATTTTGTAATTATCTATTGTGAAGTTATAGTATTAATTTTTATAAAGGTATATAAGTTAGGATATTTTAGTATTGTAGATGGATTTGTTGAAGAAATTATATTGTCTGTAATTGCTTTGAACCATTTTGGTGTTTATTTCTTGATATTTTTTGTATATTATAATGAAATAATATCCAATCTAGAATATTGTAGTTCAAGTAGTCAAGAATTGTTCAATACAGGTTATGTTGTAGTTATTTAATTTTTTTTGATTAAGTATGGTTGTTTTATTGAATAAAGAATTTGGTTAATAGATGTGCCCTTTGTTTGTTTAGAAATAGGCTATAGGTTAATTGTATGTTTCAGCTAAATATTTAATAAGTGAAATGTAAGGATTATTTGAGCTATGTTTGTTTTGACTTCATTTGTAGTTAATATAGATTGTTTTAATAAGATTTATTTGTTTGAATTGGCTGTATTTTGAATTTATTGTACTCAAATTTTTAAACTGCAGATATCAAAGTTAGAAAAATTAATGCTTTGATCTAATGTATAAATTTGCTGTTAGTGTTGAACATTATAAAATATGTTTAGAGCATATATGTTAAAATAATATAAGAT